TTAGTTCCGAGTAATGAGCTAAAAAATCCTCAGGAAGCATCACCGATCTTTACACGAGGAGGCCCGTGACCTTGTGCAGGCAGCGGCGCGCGGGGTGCCCGGAGCCCACCCTTTGGGGCGGCTCCTGCCCAGCCCTCCGGGCAGTGGCCAACGCCTCCAGGAACACTTTCCTCACCGATGCCCAGTCAGTGTCGCCAGGCGGAAGGCTCGGTGACAAGAACACGCGCCAGTGACAGAAAGGTAACACATCTTGATCGCAGGACGGCGAGATTACACCACGGGTGCATGCGTACAAGGACCCCGGAGTGTCTCATCAACAGACGCCCTGAGCCGGAGCAGGGCCACCAAAGGAAAGAAGACAAGACAGAAGGCCACGGCAGTGACCGTCCACTCTTGCTCGAGAACCGCTGCAGACACCGGGGGACGGGCGAGCGAGGGCCCGCCAGGACTGTGCTTGCTCGCCCTGCCCAACAGTCCCCGTGGCCAAGGCAAAGGGACGGGGGAGCGGGCGAGACGCACCAACAACGACTCCGCAATCCCACGCGGGTAGCCCAGCCACCAGCAGGACGCCACCCGTCAGCCATGCTCCAGCCGTCCCACAGGCCTGGGGAAGGGGAGGCGCGCCGGAGGGCCACCGCCTCAGAATGACACCGGGACAATCAAGAAACTTCTCTCGGGGGGGAAAGGAAGGATTTAAGTCAGCCAGAACGCTCTTTTAAAGGGTGCAGATGATTCTAGAAGATACAGAGCATTTCTAGAAAATGACCTGTCCTAATGGGAATACAAGAGAGATACACATCACCTGTCACCAGAGGAAATATGCAGTCACAGAGTCACACTAATGAAGGGCCATGTCAACCCACATCCGACAGAGACCTCAGCCCAAGTCCCAGGGGGAGGCCATAGCACTCCCTCTCACAGACGCCGGGAGACCCCAGCCCGAGTCCTGGGGGGGGACTAGCACTGCCCCCCCACAGACACTGGGGAGACCCCAGCCCGAGCCCTCAGGGGAGACCCTCGCACTCCCCCCCAAAGACGCCAGGGAGACCCTAGCCCGAGTCCTGAGGCGAGAGCCTAGCGCTGCCCCCCACAGACGCCAGGGAGGGGGAGTCGGATTTGAACCAGGCAGAAAGGAAAAAAGTGCATTTCAGGTTAATTCTTTAACATTATTGTCATCATTATGCCTACCTAACCTACATCCAAAAATAATCTGAGGCTATTTACCAAGGAAAAGAAAAGAATCAACAGTGCTGCTCAGGTGCGCAGAGTAGCGGAAGTCACATACTAGACCAAAGCGGGGCCACCGGACCAGAGTCCCGGCCTGCGCTGGTGCTGGTGCTGGTGCTGGCTGGGCGTGACTTCAGGGCCGCCCATGGCAGCGAGAAGGTCCCACATGGCCGGAGTCTGTCTCACATGCAGCCACCCCAGTCAGGCCCCAGGTCCCGCCGGTGTCCCCTGAGCATCCCCAGGAGTGGCCCTGAGCACTGAGCCAGGAATAAACCCCAAGGGCGCCAAGAAGGAAAGGGAAAGAGAGCGTGAGTGCGGCCCCATGACGAGCCCGTCCAGCAGGGACCCCCTCTTGGGCCCTGCCGGGCAGTGTGGCCAGACATGCTGTTGGACCCCCGCGGGCAGGGGCCTGCACTCCCCCCAGAGTCAAGGAGCAACGCTGTCAGGCACTTCCCTCGGGGCACAGGGGAGGGTCCCTTCCAGGAAGCCACGGGATGTGGGGCGACATGGTACAGCGTCACACCTGGGGGCCACTCCGCTCCAGAAGGGCAGAGCCAAGGTCCCACAACCTTCCACAGCTTTCTCCACACGGCAAGAGATGAGCACGACCTCAGAGTGAGGCATTCCGAGTCTCAGGACACAGGGACGCGCGGAAGGAGAAGGTTCCAGAAAGGCTGGACCCCAAGATGCGATGCCCCCGAGCCCAGAATCCTGGTTCCCCACCCCAGACTGCGATGGGTGGGCGACACGCTGAGAAATGAGAAACTGCACAGAAGCCCGGGGACAAATGTGCCCCCAGAGAGCCCCCCACCCTGCTGGCGGGAGAACCTCTGACCTCTGGGCCGCCTGTCCTTGAGCGGAGGCGGCTGTCCCACAGGAGCAGGGGGGCAGGAGGTGGAGCCGTCCGGCCTTCAGACGGGGCGGGAGGTGTGTCTACCTGGGCCGCCCAGCGCTGCCCCCAAAACGGGGAGCAGGGGTGAGAGAGAGGGTGTTGGGGCCCCTCTCATGGGAAACTCCCAAAGGCAGACGGCTCTCAGATGCCACGTGGGGGGGCAGGACCAGCCCCGAGCTCAGAGGGACCCGAGGACACGCACCTCTGGGGCAGCCCACCAGCAGGATGCCCCCCAGGCTAGGTGAGGGGAGGAGTGGCCCCAGCATCCCCCACGTGCCACGCTCCTTCCCCGGGCACTCACACCCCACCCTGGAAGCTCTCGGATCCCCCAACTGATTAGACGGAACAAATCAAGTGTTTTAAGAACCAGGAAAATGAGGTCAAAAGCGCCGCTTTCAGGCAATGGCACGATGCCCACTGGCTAGTCTGCGCTGACGGAAGGGCACCCCCGGCCCGGGGTGAAGCCTTTCCCGGGAGGGGCCCCCAAACGACGCCTCTGCTGCTGAGGGGCACTCCCGCCCCGACTTCGGGGCGAGGAGGAAGCGAGCACGTCGATGGGCAAGAGCTGCCCGGAGCTAACAGGTTCCAGTCCCTTCCCCCACTTGAGTCCAGGGGAAACTCCACATAGGGCTGAGTGACACTCAGGGGTGGCTGCCCACCCTCCCGGGAATGTCCCAGGCTTTCCCAGAGGGGCTGCTCCTGACACCACCCCCGCCCCCACTCCCGCAAGGAATGGCAGAGTGTGATCCTGGCCACCAGCATGTCCCCCTGGACAGACTGGCCTGTCCAGGCCTGCACAAGGGACATCCAGGGCAAAGCGCTTCCCCTACGAAGAACAAAGCCGGGCACACCGCGCCGGGCTCTGAACGGCCACTTTCCGGTGTCACACGCACTACTGGAGGCCTGGGCGACGTTCAGGATGTCACTGCTTACTCAGGAAGTACAGATGACAAGTGAGAGCGTGGAGGGGCTGGTCGGCTAGCCAGCAGGAGTCCCCGCCCCCAACACACCCTGCAGCGTGGCCCCCAAAAACGGGGGAGGAAAAAAAAGTTGGCCGTTAGTCAACGACTCTTGTGATTCTTCTAAGGCCTGCAGTTACCAAGTGTGTCCGACTTCCGACACATCAAGGTCCCCAAGGCACTGAAAGTCCAGCCACCTAGCCAGTCCCCTTGGTGTCCAGGAGGAGACACAGAGGGGCACACACCTTCAAAGCACCGCGCTAGGGTTCTTTCCCGAAAAGGGATACGGAACAGCAAGGGAAGGAGCTGATCCCAAGTTCCCGGGTACTGCCTGCCCCAAGGAGGGGAACCCCACCGGGACCCCAAGGGGCACACCAGCCAGCCACCTCTCGCCAACGGCATGTGGGTGACGCAGGGGTCACCATTCCCCCTCTTGGGGTGCAAAGGCATCCGGCCGCGGCTTCCCAGCCATCGGGAATACTACAATTTAAGGAAATTAGAGAGAGTCGAGGTAACAGGCACCCTAAATACGGCTGACGGGGAGCGGAGAGCCAGGAGCCAGGAGGAGGATGAGAGGTCTAAAAAAGAACTGGAAAGTTTATTTCCAGGGAGGGTTCGCAGACTCGGCGCCGGAGCCAGGAACCCAAGGGCAGGGGAGGGACGGACGGCGGGCAGGGGGCAGTCAACTGGTGACCAGGGGGGTTCCGGGGAGCCCGATCCCTGCTGGCGGCTGGCAGACGGGGCGATGCCCGGGCCCCTGCCACCCCAGGACTAAGGCACCCGGGGCCCTGGCCTACATCTGCGGGGTGCCCACCCGCCCCGTCCGCGGACGGCGGCGGGAGCCCCGAGGACGGCCGGCGGCGCTGGACGGCCCAGCCAGGTGCCCCCTCGGGGCAAGGAGGACAGGCCGAGGGGCGTGCAGGAAATGAGCTCAGCGGGCCCAGGAAAGTGTGCGGGGAGCCTCACCGGTGAGAAGTGGCCGGGCGCCTTCCGATTTAGAAATGACTTCAGGGCTGCACAGCCCCCCACCGTCCACTGGGCGAGGGAGCAGCCGGGGCGCCCGAGTCCCCTTGTCCTGGCGCAAAGGGTCACGGGGCGGCGCGCCGGGGCCCCCGAAGGTGCCCCCGGCACGAGGAGCGGCGCCCAGGGTGCCCCCCGCCGCGGCGGGATCAGGGTCACGGAGGGAAAGGGCACGGCGGGGCGGCGGGCGCGCCCCGGCGGCCGTGGACACGGAGACCCCACCCTCGCGGCGGCCGGGGCCGGGGCCGGGGCCGGGGCCAGGGGCGGGGACGCCGCGGCCCGTCCCAGCGGCGGCGGCGGCGGCAGGGGGAGAGGTCCCGCGAGGCCCGGGGCCCCGCGCGTCCGCGGGATGCGGGGGTCCCCCCGGCGGGCGGCCCCGGGAGGCGCCCGCGGGACGCGCGCGCGCGGCGGCCGGGGAGTGCGCCCGGCCTGGCGCCGGGCAGCAGGGGCGGCCGGGCTGCGCGCCCGCCGAGCCCCCGACGGGCAGCGGCCCGCGGGCGCCCCCGGCCCGGAAACTTTGCGCCCCGCGGCCCCTCGCGGGCCCGGCCCGGCCCGGCCCGGCGCGGGGGGCGGGGGCCGCGCACCGGCGGGGAAGCCCGGCCGGGTGGGGGAGGCGCCGGCCCGGCCTCCGCCGGCTCCTCCTCCCCGCCGGGCCCGGCCCCCGCCCGCCGGCCGCGGCCCCCGCGCCCCCGGCCCGCCGCGCGCCGCCCCCCGCCCGCCGCCCCCTCCCCGGCCGGGGCGCCCCCCGCCGCCGCCGCCGCCGCCGCCGCCGCGCCGCCGCCGCCGCCGCCGCCGCCGCGCCCCCGCGCTCCCGCCCGGCGCCGCCGATGCCCGGGATGTCCGGCGGGGCCGGCGCCCGCCGCCCGCCGCGCCGCCCCCGGCCCTCGCGCGCCGGCCCTTACCTTCCGGCTTGTTTTCGGCAGCCATTTCCCCTCCGCGCGCCACATCCTCCTCCTCCTCGCGACCGGGACCCCGAGCGCGCGCCTCGTACCGCCGCCGCCGCCGGCCCAGCCACCCCGCCGCCGCCGCGCACCCGCCCTGGCCCCGCCCCGCGGCCCACGCACTGCGCCCGTTGGCCCGCGCGGCTGCCACTCCGCGCGCCCGCCGCCAATCGGCGCGCGCCGGGGGGCTCACTACTCGCCGGGAGGAGCGCCCTGTCCGCCCGGCCCATTGGCCGCTCACCACCCCACGGGGAGCGGCGATTGGCCGAGGATTTCCGCCCCCGCCCCGCCCACTCCCAGGAAAGCCCGCCCTCCGGACCTAAACAAAGCTTCCCAGTGGCCGGCGCCGCGGAGGGCGCGCCAATGAGGAAGGCGCCGACGCGGAATAGTTCCTCGAGGCCGGGACGGGGCGCCCTGATTGGACGGCCCCGCCGTGTTTCCCAGGCCGCCCCGGCCAATCGGAGCGGGGGTCCCGGGGCGCGGGCGGGGCGCGGGGAAGCCCCGCCCCCGAGCGTGACCGTCAGGAGGAAGGCGCTCGCTCATTGGCGCGCCGGGGCTTTTCCCGCGTGCTCCCGGGGCTGAAGGACGTTCCCGGGGAAGCCGCTGCCGGCGCGTGGGGTCCCGGTGGCCACGGAGGACACGGCGGGATCTCGGGGATCCCTCCGCGCGTCGCGGCCGGGGGTGGGGGCGAGGGCGGCGGCGGGGAGGGCGTGGGGCGGCGGCCGGGGTGCCTCGGGCTGGCGGGCCCCGAAGCCCGGCGACCCGGCGAGTCCGGGCGTCGCTGCCGGCCGGGGCGCGGGGGAGGGGCGCGCCGCCCGCCAGGCCCCGCCCCGCGCGCGCCAGGCCCCGCCCCCGGCCGCGCCGCCGCCGCCGCCGCCGCTGCCGCCGCACACGCGCGGGTGCCCGGCCCGCCCGCCCGCCCGCCGCGCCCCGCCCCCGGGGTGCTCGCTTGTCCCCTTTTCGAGTGGCTTAAAATACTGAAACTTTATTTTGGTCACGTTGGCCATGTGACCCGCAGAGCCGATGACTCATAAATGCCTGTCCCAGGATGCGGCCGCCGGCGGAACGTTAGGGGACACGCGCGTCCGCCGCCGCCCGTGGCCAGCCCGCGTGGTGCCCCGCACGGGACAGCGTCCCTCCTCGGGGACCGACGCCGCTGCAGCCGCTCGCGGCGGCCCCCTCGCGGGGCGGAGGGCCGGAGCCCACCCTGCACCCTGCACCCTGCCCGGGGATTCTCGGGCGTGCACGTGGGCCGGGACCCGGCGCGAGGGGACGGGCGAGCCCGATGCTCAGCCGTGGACGCTGACCCTGGAGCGGGGCAGAGCCGGCCCCGAAGGCTGTTCTTTTCCGCACCTGCCACCCCTGGTGGCACCCGGCGACGCCGTGTCCTCTACCGGTGCCTTGGCACTGACGTTGGACCGTCGCCGTGAATTCGGTGCCAATCCGAACCGTTCTTTTTCGAGCCTCCACGCATGGAAATTTCTTACCTTTTCCAGAAAGTAAAAGATGTCCCGAAATTCATTCCAAGACACATTTAAATTTTATGAGCCTCAGAAAAATGCCAAAATTTTGACAACCCGGGCAGTGTATTTTATCGATCAACCTTCGTAACAGCACCTATGTTGACAATTTGTATGGTGATCCGGGTTCTCAAAAGTGCTGGTGTCACTGAAAATTAGTCTAGCCCTTTGGAAAAGCAATTTTAGAGTATGTTATGAAAAGTCAGTTTTAACCCGAAAAATAAATTTAAAAAGCACATCTTTTGACCCAATAATCTTACTTCTGGGAATCTATTCTAAGGAAGTAACACCAAACATCGAAAAAGCTGAGTGTGTGAAGATGTTCTTCAGAAGGTCGCCCAATTCTTTGCAGAAAAATGTCAAAGCCGTGTGTTGGGCAAGACGGTTGTGCTCTACCCACACAGCGGAACCTGTCACCCTTAGAGACATCGGGAAACAAAAAGGAATCCAGAAGTTGATCCATGGGGGAGGGAATGTCCAATAATTATAATGTTTATTACAATAGGTGATTCGGTAAAAATCTTCCTTTGTAAAAAGAGGTAGACACCCAAGAAATAATGTGGAGGATGGCTGTCTGAATTTCCTATAATCTTGATAGAACGCTACAGTTTTTACAATTAAAATTAGCATTTAACGCCGGCATGATAGTACAACCACGAGGACGCATAACTTTCATGCCGCTGACCCAGGTTCAATCTCCCCTCCGGCAGTGATCCCTGAGCACAGAGCCAGAAGTAAGCCCTGAGCATCTTTGGGTGTAGCCCACAAAAGCAAACAAAACACAAACTTCCACTGCAATTTATCTGTGAAATAAACCCTAGGAAGAATGAACGTGTCAGGGGCTTATTATTTTTAAACGATCTAATAATTATTTTTCCATTTTTCTAATGAACATAACCCATGTATAAATAAACCACAAAACCAGTGCTCTTGAGGGGTCCTCAATAATTGTTTCAGACTGTGAGACTGACCCTGGGTAAAACAGAACGCTAGGGCCGGAGGGACAGTTCAGAGGGGAAGTCACTCGCCTGGCATGCGGCTGAGCCAGGATCAATCCCCAGCACCAACCATGGTCCTCTGAGCCCCACCAGGAGTGATCCCTGAGCACTGCCTGGGGTCTTCTGCTTTTGTGGCCCTAAAATAAAAAAGTAATGTGCTTTTTTTCCTTTGAAGTGGGGGAGCCTGGTTGGCTGCTAGAGTCCCCTCTAATAAGGTGTCGTAGACTAGAGGCTGGGGTGGGGACTGTCCCAAGCCACTCCTGAGCACAGAGGCTGAAACACCTGACCACCACCAGGTACGGCCCCAAAACAAGAATAAATAAACAGTACAGATATTTAATAATACAGAAATAACAATCCCGTGTCCTCTTGCCTTTTCCAGCTAAAACGTCACAACATAGAAACTTAGTTCAAAGGATCTTCCATCCACTAGCCCTGCTCACCCTCTCCCGCCCCTCCCCACACTCTCCCCCGACCCGCCAGCTGCACCCATCAGTCACCCTGACCCTCCTGGAACATCTGTCTGGGCGTAAGGCTTGCCGGGTCATCAGTCTCACCAGCTTCAATTCCAGCTCATTTGAAATAGAATTTGAACGTAAAAAACCTAGGAAACCAGGAAACCGCTGTGTCGACCAGGAAACCACTGGCATTCCAAAGAGGCAGGTGTTTCATCTGTTCAGTCTCCTTCTGTTTTGGCTTGGGGGGGCTACACTTGACAGTGCTCAGGGCTCGCTCGTGGCTCGCTCGTGGCTCAGGGCATCGGGAGTGGAACCCGGGTCGGCCCCACACCAGGCCGGCACCTGTCCATCTCTTGGGCCTCTCATCTGCTTTAGACCGAAGTCGAGCCACATCCTCCAGTAAGAAGCGACGTGGATGGGCTGGAGCAATAGCACAACGGGTAGGGTGTTTGCCTTGCACGTGCCCAACCCGGGTTCGATTCCCAGCATCCTATATGGTCCCCTGAGCACTGCCAGGAGTAATTCCTGAGTGCATGAGCCAGGAGTAACCCCTGTGCATCGCCGGGTGTGACCCCCCCCCAAAAAAAGAAGAAGCAGCGACGTGGAGGTGGATCCTTCGGTGTCGGAGCCTTTGCAATGGGCACTGCTTCCACAGTGACTGTCACCCTGAAACCTTCCCATGTGGTTCAGTGATGGCCTAGATTCTTCAACTGGGAGGTTGCGAACCTATGAAACCATGGGAAAAGCCCGCGGCAATAATAAAAGGTGTTTGGGGGGCTGAAAAGATAGCATAGCAGGTAGGGCGTTTGCCTTGCAGCGGCCGACCCAGGTTCGATTCCTGGCATTCCATATGGTCCCCTGAGCACCGCCAGGAGTAACTCCTGAGTGCAGAGCCAGGAGGAACCCCTGTGCATCGCCACGTGTGACCCAAAAAGCCAAAACAGAAAAAAGAAAAGGTGTTTGAATGTGCAGCCCCCAAAACTGGGGAATTCAGAACCCCACGCATGGTGAATCCAAGGTGTTTGCGACAGCGCTCACCAGGGTGGCATTTCCCAGGAATGGTGAAGCTGGCGAAGTCCCGGGCTGGCACGCACATACCCGAGAACCGTCTCTCAGACCCGCCCTGAGTTCAGAGCTGTTGCTTGGCAGGATGCCCAGTCCCTGCCCTCCAACACACAAATCCCGGTTTCTCCAGACTTGCCCCAGAAAACCAAAGTCTCGCTTCACCTCTTAAACATTCTAGTACTAGAGCCGGATCCTATTTGTTCTAGAAGTGTGTTTGTGTGTTTTTATTTGTCCTCGGGGTTCTCCCCATATGGCTTCTCTCTAAAGAGAGTACAGCTTACGGATATCAGGCTTGGCTGGTTCCCCGGACAAGGGTGGCCCTTCCCCCACACACACCCCCCCCCAAATGAAAATGTTGGCATTTAAACTCCAAGTGGAGAGTTGTGGAACTTCTCCCACTGAAATCTGTAGCTGGAGTAGGTGACACACAAGGCTCGGGCCGCTGTGCTCCCCTGCCCACAGAGAGACAGCACGCGGCAGAGCTGGGATCGGTCTGTACAGAAAAGAGAACTAAAGACATCGCCTGTAATTATACAGGGTGGAGCAGAACAGTTAAAATACCCCAAAATCTCTCTTCACCAGGTTACATTCAACCCGCACCTGGTTCTAGGTGCTTAAAAATGGCCTTGAGGGGCTGGAGAGATAGTACAGCAGGTAGGGCGTTTGCCTTGTATGCGGCCCACCCGGGTTCAATTCCCAGCATCCCATATGGTCCCCTGAGCACCGCCAGGGATATTTCCTGAGTGCAGAGCCAGGAGTAACCCCTGTGCAACACCAGGTGTGACCCCAAAAGAAAAAAAATGGCCTTGAACGAGACAGACCAACACCCCTGGCTCCTGGCACTGCCACAGACGTAGGAACGGCAAATGACAAAGAAGTAAAGGCGGGGCTGGAGTGATAGTCCAGCAGGGAGGGTGTTTGCCTTGCATTTGACCGACCCAGGTTCGATTCCCAGCATCCCGTATGGTCCCCCGAGCACCACCAGGAGTGATTCCTGAGTGCAGAGCCAGGAGTAACCCCTGAGTATCACCGGGAGTGACCCAAAAAGAAAAAAAAAAAAAGGCTGGAGCTTTGAGGCTG